GCCAATTACCCGCTGAGTGCACCACAAATCAGTTTCACAACAACCATATTTCACCCAAACGTCAGCCAAACGGGTGCCATATGTTTGGACACATTGAAGCGGAACTGGAGCGCCGGTCTCAGCATTGGTAAAGTGCTTCTGACTGTGCAGTCATTGTTAGCCGACCCGAACCCCAACGTGGGGATGTTGCCGTGCCGACCCGTGTACATAGAGTGGCTAGCCGTTTCCAAATTCTTTTGACGGTCTGTAACCTGAAATGTCATGCGTATGGGAGGCGGGCCTATACACAAGTGGTGATGAGTCTGCACTTCCACTCCGGCCAACAATCAGGACAGCGCCGGTACGGGTGGATCCGGTAGCAGTGGGTAGAGACTAGAGGGTTATATTGAGTGGATTACCCGCACTGACAGTGATTTAATTGTGTGTAAAATTAAATTGTAAACACAGTTTTAAAATTTTGTTTTAATTGTTTTTACATACATTAATGTGTTTTGTAATATTAAAATGTGCCAAGAAATTAGTGCACAATTAATTGATTTAGAGTAATTTATCATTTAGAAGTACTTTGATTTTAAAAATAGTTATAGTAATACCGGAAAGTACTGTATTATACAGTCTGTATAATGCAGTGACAGTTATATTGGGATTATTTCAATAAAAGGGTTTAGAAAATCTATCATTACTGTATACCGAACAATCTTATAAACCACATTCTTCATATATGAATTGTAGTTAAAAATAAACAAACATTTAGAGTTATAATTGTTTGAAATAATACTATAGTTTGTTATCGTATTTTTATAAATTATTTTGAAAAATTTTGTTAAAATATTTTTAAAAACAATTAAATTCAACCCAAAGTTACAAACAAAAGTAAAGACACAAAACGAGCGCTTAATTTGTGTCCCAAAAACGGTGACCCGAAGACAGTTTGCAGAGAGCACTCCATCGGGCGATACAATGGCCTTAAAGCGGATCCACAAAGAGTTGACAGAACTTCAAAGAGATCCGCCGCCGGGCTGTACGGCTGCACCCAATGGCGACAACTATTTCCAGTGGACGGGCAGTATTGAGGGCCCGCCGGACACCCCTTACGAGGGCGGACTGTTTAATGTGCAAATCAATTTCCCGGCCAATTACCCGCTGAGTGCACCACAAATCTCATTCACAACAAAATATAAAGTGGGCTTGCAGTCACTTTAGCCTGTCTAAACAAACCTGTGTAACTTCGTCTTGACCTCGCGGCCAGAGTTGTAACCATTTCACGAAGACAGACACGTCAGTAACAACCGGCTGGGCTTGGCCAACGACGCCTACAACGGCGCGGCTGCGCGCATGTATCTCAACAATCGGCAAATGTATAACAAAACTGCTGTCTCAACATTGGTAAAGTGCTTCTGTCTGTGCAGTCATTGTTGGCCGACCCGAACCCCAACGACGCCTACAACGGCGCGGCTGCGCGCATGTATCTCAACAATCGGCAAATGTATAACAAAACTGCCCGACATTGGACTCTACAACACGCATACCCTCCGCCCGACTATGTGTTCACTACTACTCAAACCACTACCACTCCGGCCAACAACCAGAACAGCACCGGTACGGGTGGATCCGGTAGCAGTGGGTAGAAGCCATGGATTAGAAACTAGAGGGTTATATTGAGTGGATTGCCCGCAATGACAGTGATTTAATTGTGTGTTAAATTAAATGTATACACAGTTTTGAACTTTTGTTTTAATTGTTTTTACATAAATTCATATGTTTTGCAATATTGAAATATTCCAATTAATTAGTGCAAAATTAATTGATTTACAGTAATTTGTTATTTAGAAGTACTTTTATTTATAAATACCATTTGAATAAAGGTTTTCGTTTACAATCTTGCGGTAAACTCGTTCAAAATGGTGTCCAACGACTTACCCGAGTCTTTCAATTGTGCGACCAATTGAGTCAATACGGATGCATTGAAATTGGCATCGAGCGCCTGATTTTTCAAATATTTGATAACCTTGGCCAATCTCTTAATGTCATCTTTGCGTGATTTATCCATCTCTTTGCCCTCAATCTGGACGCCCCAGCGCTGGAAGTGATGGCGTGCGGACACACTCTGACCAAAGTCCGTCCATTTGGCCACAAAATTGTCTCCGTTTTGGCCGTTACCAAAGATCAATACATTGCCGATGTGGGCGTCCATATGAACCACACCCTTGTTATGCATATAATTCATGCCTATATTGATAGAAAATTATTACAATTAAATTTTTGACACAAAATAATGTGCTAATTATGCAATGGTAGACATACCGGCGCAAACGTCATGTGCAAATTTGATGGACAACTGACCGCTAAACGTATGATTGTCTTTGAAATCTGCGAGACAACAGTCGGCTTAATCCATCACCAAAAACATGCGATCATACGAGACAAGTGGCATCATATTTGGGTGCTTACTGTAAACAAGGTATCGCTTTTGACCCAAATTGATGGACATTTTAAGCGATACACAGTTTGGATGTTTAAGTGTTTTCATAATTTGTTTCTCTGTCTCGTAATTCAAACGCTGTATGTTTGGAGTCAATGGCAAAAACATGACATACTTGGCCGCAAATTCCTGCTCCGGCTCTACACCTTCCAGTCGACTGCCCTCCGTAGCACTCAATTGGAGAATCTGTTTAAAAAGTTAAAAATATTAAACTAATAATTTTCAGGTACAAGCAAATTAAGCTAGTCAAGTTAATAATCTAACCTGTTGATTGTAAACACCCCGATACACTGTCCCATAGGTGCCCTCTCCTAATTTGTGGGTATCTGCGAGTTGTATATCAAAGCCTTTGGGCCTAATCTTATTTAAATCCATTTGTGTCTTTTCCCGAAGCACTCTCTTCTGCTCCTTTTCGCTCATACCTTCAAACTTGTTGTAAAAGTCCGGTCCAGACATCTCCGCACAACTGCTGGCGTAGAGTTCAGCCGATGACAACCTGTCAACTGCGTCGGCCGGCACCTCTCCCCTCGGCAACAGTCGTAGAGTGCGGTCCAGTTTGTCACGGGGTGTGACCGTATGCGCAGAACCGCTGCTATCGGGGGTCGAACCGCTCAATTGCGCTACGCTTTGGTCCATAACCGGTGTCCTCTCGTCTTCATCGGACTCATCGTCGCTCTCATCGCGTCGGCTCTCGTGTGGATCCGGTGCTGACATATCCAACAGTCGCTACTTTTGTGGACCGTTGTTAGTATATCAGGATATACTCTGATTTTATTTATATATTTTTAAAATTTTTTAAATTTGTTAATTTTTCTCAACAATGGTTCGGGTCGGCCAACAATGACTGCACAGACAGAAGCACTTTACCAATGTTGAGACCGGCGCTCCAGTTCTGCTTCAATGTGTCCAAACAAATCTGTCCGATTTCACTGACGTTCGGGTGAAATATCTTTGTTGTAAATGAGATTTGTGGTGCACTCAGCGGGTAATTGGGCGGGAAATTGATTTGCACATTAAACAGTCCGCCCTCGTAGGGGGTGTCCGGCGGGCCCTCAATACTGCCCGTCCACTGGAAATAGTTGTCGCCATTGGGTGCGGCCGTACAGCCCGGCGGCGGATCTCTTTGAAGTTCTGTCAACTCTTTGTGGATCCGTTTTAAGGCCATTGTATCGCCCGATGGAGTGCTCTCTGGAAACTGTTATTGGATCGCCGTTTTTGAGACACAAATTAAGCGCTCGTTTTGTATCTTGACTTTTGTTTGTAACTTTTAGTTAAATTTAATTGTTTTTAAAAATATTTTAGCAAAATTTTTAAAAATGACTTATAAAAATACGATAACAAACTATAGTATTATTTCAAACAATTATAACTCTAAATGTTTGTTTATTTTTAACCACAATTTATATATGAAGAATGTGGTTTATAGGATTGTTCGGTATACAGTAATGATAGATTTTCTAAACCCTTTTGTTGAAATAATCCCAATATAACTGTCACTGCATTATACAGACTGTATAATACAGTACTTTCCGGTATTACTATAACTATTTTTAAAATCAAAGTACTTCCAAATGACAAATTACTGTAAATCAATTAATTGTGCACTAATTTCTTGGCACATTTCAATATTACAAAACACATTAATGTATGTAAAAACAATTAAGACAAAATTTTAAAACTGTGTATACCATTTAATTTTACACACAATTAAATCACTGTCAGTGAGGGTAATCCACTCAATATAACCCTCTAGTCTCTGACTCATGGCTTCTACCCACTGCTACCGGACCCACCCGTACCGGCGCTGTCCTGATTGTTGGCCGGAGTGGAAGTAGTCTGAGTAGTGGTGAACACATATCCGGGCGGAGGGTATGCGTACTGTAAAGTCCAATGTCTGGCAGTTTTCTTAAACCTTTGCCGATCGGTGAGATACATGTGCCCAGCCGTGCCGTTGTAGGGGT